TTTTGTTTTTCTTACCTCAAACACTTAGCTTATCGAGTTGATATTATTTTGTCTTCTTTTCTTCTTTCTACTTCTTCTAATATTATGAGACAAGTCAAGTCCCAGCTCTGTAGCATCAAATGATTTGTTTTTCAATTAACCATTTTCAGTCTTTAACTCCTACATGTTGGGTGACATTACCAGTGATCTCATTCCCCTAACAAATATAAGCTCCCGGCTCTGAGTTTCTTCATCCTTTCCTAACACTCCTGTTTTTTTCTATGCAATCTTCTGAATGCAATCCCAGTTGAAAGAGCAATTGGAATTAGAAAGTCTGATATAATGGAGAGGATAGGGAGTACCTTCTTTATAGTCTTTGCTGATTCATTTAATGCTTACTACACAGTTATTTTAATCATTAAAAAAGCACAAGTATCATTTTTTTGTTTTTTTTTTTCTTTTTTAAATCTCTGATCACCTAGGGACAAAGACAAAAATGGCAAGAATTTGGCAGGTTAATAATGCAGAGTTCTGAAAACAGCCATGACTGTCAAAGAAAAAAAAATTTGTCTTCTTACCATTAGCAAAAAGTGATACTTCTATATTCTTAATTCTCCCCATTTCATTTTCTGTAGAAATAAAGACTCTAAGAAAAAAAATTGTTCATCTACTGAGGCAAGAAAGAAAAGATTGTTTTCATATTGGAGTTAAAGGGGTTTTTCTGAGTATATTTATACAAAAACCCACTTGTTATTATGCAACTTTCTCTTCCAAGATATCCTAAAAATGGACAAGATTGCTTAGATACAGTAAGCATCAGACAAGTATGCCAAGATTAGAAAGCATTATCTAAGTGCAGGTAAAGAAAGAGGCACCAGTAATAGGAAACCAAGGAAGGAGCACTCAGAAAGGCAGGAGAAAGTAGCACTGAGGAAGCCAAAGACCCTTTTTCACGAAGGGAGTGGGTGACAGTATTAGATACTACAAAGCAGTCGCCCAGGATGAGTGAACACAGGTTTTCAGATTTGGAAATGAAAAGGTCATTGTTAATCACAGAAAGAATAGTTTCTGCACAGAGTGTATGTCAAAAAACAAAAGGCCCATGTTACTATTGCTGCTTTCATCCCTACTATGATATGTACATATGTGTACATTCACTGGGGCTACGAATGAACAGGAAGAGGGAAGGAATTAACATTTAATGAAGACAATATGAACCAAGTACTGGCTGTAAGGCTTTTGTGTTCTCAGC